AAAACCCCCCCCAAACAAACCCAAATCAAATAAAAACAAAACAAAACTACCCCCCAAAACCAGACAGCCACTTGGATCCTCCGACGCCCGGGTCAGCTGAGCGAGAGCAGCGTGAGGCTGGTGGGCCGCAAGGTGTCCAACACTGACGCCATGATTCACGGCAAAGACAGTCTGTACTACGGGGCATTAGAACTGGACGCTGTCTACAGGTGGGTGGTTGTTTGTTAGTTAGTTTGTTAGTTTGTTTGTTAGTTTGTTTGTTCGTTGTTGTAGCGTCCAGTTAAAGAAACAACCCCCCCCCCTTCCTAAAAAAAATTATAAAAAAAAAAAAACAACAACAACGTCATTTCAAGGTGTTCAACACTGACGCCATGATCCACGGCAAAGACAGTCAGTACTACGGGGCCTTAGAACTGGACGCTGTCTACAGGTGGGTGAATGTTTGTTAGTTTGTTTGTTAGTTTTGTTCGTTGTTTTAGCGTCCCGTTAAACAAACAACCCCCTCCCCCCAAAAAAAACCAACAACAAAAACCAACAACAGCCAACAACGTCATTTCAAGGTGTCCAACACTGGCGCCATGATTCACGGCACAGACAGTCTGTACTACGGGGCCTTACAACTGGACGCTGTCTACAGGTGGGTGGTTGGCGGGTGTTCTGATGTGCTTTGCTCATTCTTTCCTATCAAACATCTATCGTTCTTATCTCTCCTCTTTTTTGTGTATGTGAAGTGTGCTGACAGAAGGAGTTACTTCTCAGATTTCTGCCCTCTGTAAATAGATACATCTTGCTTATATGGATGACGTTTTGACCATTTATAGGCCTATGAAGTAACAAAAGACATGTTATTATACTTAAAGAATATACATATAGTAGGAATAGAAAATCTACAAATTTGATCCTAGTGTCGATTTTTGGCCAACATCTCTATTTGTGGTTTGCGAGAAGTAACTCAATTTGTCAGCATGCCTCACGTATGTTACTCTCTTGTAACACCTCTAATCTTCGGCACTTATATTATGACCTAATTCTATTGCAAGTGCTGCAAAACTCTTATTAAAACTAACTTTCTTTTTAAAAATGCAAGCACCACCTGTCTAAGAAGGTCACAATTAGCTTTCTCAACTATTAGGGGCCGTTCACAAACGACGTCAGCTCAGAGGGGGGAAGGGGATATTGGGGG